AACGTACACACACACACACATACATAAACACAAACGTGGACACACACAAACACATCACACACACAGACATACATGAACACAAACGTGCGCACACACACACAACATTAGTATATCTTTTGTCTGTGTATATGTGTGTGCGTGCGGGTGCATCTGTTTCAGTGTGTGTGAGTGTGACTGTGAGTGTGTGTGTAAGTATGACTGTGAGTTTGTGTGTGTGTGCTGATTGTGAGTGTGGTGTATGTGTGTGTGTGTGTGTGTGTCTGTATCTGTGTGTCTATATATATCCTTAAAAAAGTGCACGGAATTAATACATTAATATGAGTGGTGAAAAGTTCAGACTAAAAATTCTGTGCATAATACTGTGGAAAACCATTTTTCAAAATTCATTCTGCACATCCACATAAAAATATCGTGACCCAAGTTATAATTACGTTATTACTAATAATATCTAATAATGATATTTTGATTCAAGCTAAGTCTCTTCATATTTTTTGCCAATAATGCTTCTATTTTCAATATTTACATCAAAGTTAATACTCTCAACCTTGTCATTAGCAGTAGCAGTAGTAAAAAAAAGTAGTATCTGTAGTATTCGTACTTCTGTGTTAGTATTCATAGTGGTAATAGTAGTATACATAGCCGCGATAGCAAAATTGTAAGTAGCAATAGCTGCAGAAATACTCATAGTAGTATCTAGTGGATGTAGTGGTGGTCATAAAAGTAAAATTAATAGTATAGGTTGCTGTAGTAGTATCAGTGGTGGTAGTTGTAATAATAGCCATAGTCGTCATAGTGATGAAGATAGCAACAGCAGTAGTGATAACAGTAAACACAGTAATTGTAGTTGTAGCAGTAGTAGTAGTAATAGTACTTGTAATAGTATAGTAGTAGTAAGGTAGTTTCTAGTAGTGATAGTAGTTATAATGGTAGAAGTAATATTAGTTGTGGTAGTAGTAGTAGTAATAGTAGTAGTAGTAGTAGTAGTAGTTAGTAGCAATAGTAGTAATAGTAACTTCTAATAGGCAGTTACCTTAAATCATAATATTTCAAACAACAGAACAGAAATGCGGACAACCAACACTGAAAAAAAAAAAAAAAAAAAAAAAAAAAAAAAAAAAAAAATATATATATATATATATATATATATATAGTATATATATATATATATATTATATAGTAATTAACACCATAATATTTCAAACAACAGAACGGAAATAGGGACAACCAACACTGAATAATAAAAAAACACATATATGATTACATAATCACAAACAGATCCAAACGTAGAAAATAATAACTCTATTCAGAACCCTATTAGAGGCATGGTGATAATAACAGCCGGCAGTGACAGCATAAAATCCACCAAAATACGAGAGAAAATGCATTCCAACAATGGAAATAATGGTCGAGCTCAATAGTTATCCAGCCGAGTGTCGAAAAAGTGTTATTAATGCTCATGTTTCTCACAAGTTCTCTTCAACACTGAATGCAGATTGTTTTTTTCTTTTCTTTTCTTTTCTTTTCTTTGTTTTTACCCAAACTTCTCTCATTTGAATGTGATACAGTGAAGGATAATCATGTTTTTCGAAGTGGTTTGGGCGCCTAATGAGGTTGCACCATTAGGAAATAAAGAAATTAAAATATCTTTCTAAAATGCAGAAGATCGGAACTTGTCGAGAACATGTTTTCCCGCCGTCATGGATATCTCGTGTGTGTGTGCGTGTGTGCTCGTTTGTGCTTGCGTGTATGTGTGTGTGTACGTGCGTGTGTTTGCGTGCGTGTGTGTGTGTGCGTTGCGTTGCGTTGTGCGTGTGTGTGTGCTTTTTTGAGCTTGCGTGCGTGTGTTGTGGACGTTTGTGCGTGCGTGTGTGCTTGTGCTTGCGTTGGTGTGTGTGTATGTTTGTTTTGCGTGCGTGCGTTTGTGCTTGCGTGCGTTGTGCTTTGTGCTTGCGTGCGTGTGTGTGTACGTTTGTGCTTGCGTGCGTGTGTGTGTACGTTTGTGCTTGCGTGCGTGTGTGTGTACGTTTGTGCTTGCGTGCGTGTGTGCGCTTATTATTAAGTCCGTGAATACGATTACCTGTTGATAGATGTGAGTTCGTATCTATCTATTGGTCGTCTACTTCTCCAAATCTCTCTCGATCTGCCTATATATGCATATCAAAATGTCTCTCATTCTATTTATATTTCTCTCTGCGTGCCTACCTGTCTACCTATAAACCAGTCTTTCTATCAGTTTATCTGTCTATTCATCTATGTTTATTCATCTGTCTATATATATTTGATTTTTATATATTCCATTTTTCAGTTCTTATTTCTTTATTTACTTTTCATCATGTTCTTTACCTGTTTCCATCTTCTGTTTTTTTTTCTTATATTCCATCTTCCCCTAATATATATATATATATATATATATATATAATATATATATATATATTATATATATATAATATATAATATATATTATATATATACACACACACACACACACACACACACACAC